GTTTAATTTTATAAATTTTTATATCATTGAACTCAGAATTAAATTTCCTATCTAAATATGCTTTGATGTATTTTTTTACGTTATCGGTTCAAAAAATAAATTTTAATAATTTTTTTGTGGTATAAACGTTGGAAGGGAAAAGGCTAACATCTTAAACGCAATTTCGAATATTTTTATATCATTCTACTCAGAATTAAATTTCCTATCCAATTATGCTTAGATGTATTTTTTTACGTTTCCGGTTCAAAAAATAACATTTTTGTCGCGAAAACGTTCGAAGGGAAAAGGCTAACATCTTAAGTTTAATTTTATAAATTTTTATATCATTGAACTCAGAATTAAATTTCCTATCTAAATATGCTTTGATGTATTTTTTTACGTTATCGGTTCAAAAAATAAATTTTAATAATTTTTTTGTGGTATAAACGTTGGAAGGGAAAAGGCTAACATCTTAAACGCAATTTTGAATATTTTTATATCATTCTACTCAGAATTAAATTTCCTATCCAATTATGCTTAGATGTATTTTTTTACGTTTCCGGTTCAAAAAATAACATTTTTGTCGCGAAAACGTTCGAAAAGAAATTAATTTTATGAATTTTTATATCATTGAACTCAGAATTAAATTTCCTATCTAAATATGCTTTGATGTATTTTTTTACGTTATCGGTTCAAAAAATAAATTTAAAAAATTTTTTTGTGGTAAAAACGTTGGAAGCGAAAAGGCTAACATCTTAAACGCAATTTTGAATATTTTTATATCATTCTACTCAGAATTAAATTTCCTATCCAATTACGCTTTGATGTATTTTTTTACGTTATCGGTTCAAAAAATAAATTTTAATAATTTTTTTCTGGTAAAAACGTTGGAAGGGAAAAGACTAACATCTTAAACGCAATTTTAGGTATTTTTATATCATTCTACTCAGAATTAAATTTCCTATCCAAATATGCTTAGATGTATTTTTTTACGTTGTTCGAAGGGAAAAGGCTAACATCTTAAGTTTAATTTTATAAATTTTTATATCTCAACGAGTCGGCGCTCAATATCCTGCATGACATCGATGTCGAGGGCTTACCCCCAATCGATCAAGCTATACCCTGGATGATGGTGTCGACGCCCCTCCGATTGGATGATGAAGTTGATATGCCCAACATCTCCAACTTGGATATCATGGCAGAGGAATTCGACCTAGCAATTTTTTATGATACTCTAATTCTATCTAACGTGGAGGATGCGATCACCTCAGATAATCTATTAGCCAACGAGGAACGCATCACAGGCCCCGAGGAACGTACCCTCCCCCCCCCCCCCCACCTCAATAACACAGACATATACATATATATTATTCATACCGGCGCTTTTATATTTAGCAATTAGTTTATATTAGATAATAATCAATAAAATTATACGCAAAATAACGCTTAACGGTTGATAATATCTCATTTTAATTATATAGCTGATAAGCTTATTAACATAACCTTAGCTTAAGAGTAATAACTCAAAAACTGTGGTGCCCCAATAGGCGGCCCACAATTATAATCCATTTTTTTATAATAACCAAATATAATTTAATTAAAAATATAAATTAAAAATTAATAAAATTAAATAAAATTAAAACCGCAATTTATTTCAAAGAATTAATAAAAAAATTGAAAAGATCTTAAAATTTCCATTTTTTTAATATATTATATTCCATTTTTTTTAAATAAATAAATATAATTTAATTAAAAATATAAATTAAAAATTAATAAAATTAAATAAAATTAAAACCGCAATTTATTTCAAAGAATTAATAAAAAAATTGAAAAGATCTTAAAATTTCCATTTTTTTAATATATTATAATGTAATGTTATTATAATATTTTTCTCGTAAAAAAAGCAATAAATCAATCAAATTACACATTAATCATTTTCTTTGTTATTTTTATTTTCAATATTATTTTTTAGCCTTTCGTATCATGCAGCCTTTCGACTTATAGACCTACCCTAAAAAAAATAACAAAAAAAATAACATAAAAAAATAACAAAAATAAAATAAAAATAATATACCCCCGAGAGTGGCAGTAACCAAATATTTTTATTCTTATAATTATCGTCTAGCTGGCACCAAAGGGGAGGGGAATAATTTTATTTTTTTGGATATAAAATTCATTGTTTTTTAAATAATTTTTTTTTACCAAGGCGGAGGGGATGGGGGGAAGGGGTATTTTTATTTTAATTTAAGAAAAGATATTAATTTTTAGAATATACTGATATAATAAAAAGATTAATTTTAAGAATAGTATTGTAATTGTAAAATTTTAAATCAGAGACCTTTAGAGGTACCATTTGCAAGGTCCTGCCGGGATTTTTTTTAAAAAAATTGGAGTTGGGCTGGGTTTGGCCGAATATTTTTTAAGAAAATTCGGTCAGGGTCGGGTGGGCCTTAGAAATTTTTTTATATAAATTTATCAATTTTATGATTAATTTTTTATGTAAAATATAAATATTTTATTTTATTTATAGAAACTAGATACCATATAATAAATATCGTTTAATTAGAGAAATTATATAAACCAATTTCTGTATTTAAATTAATTTGAGTCGGGTCAGTAAATTTTTTTTAAAAAAATTTTGTTCCGTCCGGGGTAGACTTTTTTAAAAATATTTCGGGGGGGGGCGGGCCTGAAAAATTAGGCCCGGTGCAGATCACTAATTCAAAGCTATTATTTAAATATTTTGTTATACAATATTATAACCTTAAATTACATAATTATAAAATAGTATAGGGGAGACTAGGGTTAGGTAAACCCCGGGGCTTGGAAAACGATTTAATCTCATTTTAAAATTAAATAAACCAGAAGGTTAAAATTTTATCCTAATATAGTTTTCATTAATAAATGATTGCTAAAAATTTAATTTAGAAATAAAATTTTGTGAAATTTTCAAAAGATTTTTACATGACAGAATTTTAATTTTTATTAAAATATATAATAATTTATATATTTTAAATTTTATTGAAAAGTTTATAAACTCTTCTATAATTTGAATAAGTTTTATGAGTATTCATGAAATCTAGATATTATTTCAATCATGATGTGTCAGCGAGGTTTGCTAAGCCATCACGTCAATTATGGCAGTTAGTAATAAAGGGCGTAGGCTTAAGTCAGCTCGTTTCAGCAAAAAAGTTGAAAAATAAATATTATGACAATTGTCATTTTTCTATGGTACATCTTCACTGAAATTTTATTAACATCTTTACAATACATATTTTTACCTATTTGTTTTAAAATAATTCAGGAAGGTTAAAAAATAACGATTATGACAATTGTCACTCTTCTATGGTACATCTTCACTGAAATTTTATTTTAACATCTTTACAATATATATTCTTACCTATTTACTTCCAAAAAGTTCAAAAATAACGATTATGACAATTGTGACTTTTCTGTGGTATCTAAAATTTTAACTTAACATGTTTACAATATATATTTTTACCTATTTGCTTTGGAAAAATTCAAAAAAGTTCAAAAATAACGATTATGAAAATTGTCACTTTTCTATGGTACATCTTCACTGACATTTTATTTTAACATCTTTACAATATATATTTTTACCTATTTACTTTAAAAAAAGTTAAAAAATAACTATTATGACAATTGTCACTTTTCTATGGTACATCTTCACTGAAATTTTATTTTAACATCTTTACAATATATATTCTTACCTATTTATTTTAAAAAAATTCAAAAAAGTTAAAAAATAACGATTATGACAATTGTCACTTTTCTATGGTAAATCTTCACTGAAATTTTTTTAAATATCTTTACAATAGATATTTTTACCTATTTGCTTTGGAAAAATTCAAAAAAGTTAAAAAATAACGATTGTGACAATTGTCACTTCTCTATGGTACATCTTCACTGAAATTTTTTTAAATATCTTTACAATAGATATTTTTACCTATTTGCTTTGAAAAAATTCAAAAAAGTTAAAAAATAACGATTGTGACAATTGTCACTTTTCTATGGTACATCTTCACTGAAATTTTATTTTAACATCTTTACAATATATAATTTTTACCTATTTACTTTAAAAAAATTCAAAAAAGTTAAAAAATAACGATTTTGACAATTGTCACTTTTCTATGGTACATCTTCACTGAAATTTTATTTTAACATCTTTACAATATAAATTTTTACATATTTACTTTAAAAAAATTTAAAAAAGTTAAAAAATAACGATTATGACGATTGTCACTTCTCTATGGTACATCTTCACTGAAATTTTATTTTAACATCTTTACAATATTTATTTTTACTTTTTTACTTTAAAAAAATTCCAAAAAGTTAAAAAATAACGATTATTACATAGATCAACTTATTCGACTAAATTAGTTGTTTTAGTCGACTATATTAGCCTTTTTAGTCGACTATATTAGTCGTTTTAGTCGACTATATTAGTCGTTTTAGTCGACTATATTAGTCGTTTTAGTCGACTATATTATTTGTTTTAGTCCACTATATTAGTCGTTATAGTCGACTATATTAGTCGTTTTAGTCAACTAAATTAGTCGTTTTAGTCGACTAATAGACTTAGTCGTTTTAGTCGACTAAATTAGTTTTAATCGACTATATTAGTCGTTTTAGTCGACTATATTAGTCGTTATAGTTGACTATATTAGTCGTTTTAGTCAACTAAATTAGTCGTTTTAGTCGACTAATAGACTAATTTAATCGCTAAAGTTTTTGTCGATTTCCATGACTACAACTATTAGTCGTAGTCGAAAGAACTCGACTAATTAACAATACTACTTATTCATATCAAAATTAGTAAAAATTAGCCTAACTCTTAAAAATAAAAGGGGGAAATTGCTTGAAAAGTAAAGAGATTTTTAGTATTCAAGAGTTTTGCATTGTAATATAACGCTATAATTAGTTACGTCAACTATCAAAAATTGATTAAAGAACAATATATATATATCAGTTTTTAATTTCTCCTTATATTTATTCGCCAGAATACATTGTAGGAATACCTAGTGCACCTCGTCAATTTGGAAGTTACCTAAAAGAAACGCTCCGATCTATCTTTATAGCTTTGTCAAGAGAACAATTAAATGATCTAAAGGTCATCATATTGCTATCCGGGGTAAGATGACTCTCTAGTATTTTTAGGGAATAATTTGTAAATTAAATTATAATAAAATATCTTAGCAAAAAAAATAAATAAAAAATGAGCCTCTGAAAGTAAAATAGTTAAATTCATCTTGGCAGACACAATATAATAACATATTTAATTTAATAATAATTTTTTTAGCAAAAGAGTGGTTAAATAATAATGGTTAGGTGGTTAAATAAAGGCTGCACATCATGACGCTCTTTGAAGTTGTCATTATTAAATAAAATAGATTTAAATTGCGATTTTATTCAATTTTTTTTGGTTATTATTTTAAATAATTTTAAGTTTTTCTTATTATATAAAATAAAAACCTTTTATTACTAAATTTTGTATCCCCTTTTCCTAAACCTTCTGTCGGTGACAATGAGATAATATATAATCTATATTATCCTGTTTTAACTTGACTTACAGGGTTTCCCATTCAAAAAAATAAAAGTCCAATCAAAAAAGGAAAAGTGTCATTCATAAAAGGAAAAGGGTCAATCATAAAAGGAAAAGGTTCGATCAAAAAAGGAAAAGTCCCAAAGGTTTAGGAAAAAGTCCGATAAAAAAAAGAAAAAGTGTCAAACAAAAATGGAAAAGATTCAATCAAAAAAGGAAAAGTGTCAAACAAAAATGATAAGGTCCAATCAATAAAGGAAAAATGTCAATTAAAAAAGGAAAATTCCCATTCAAAAAAGAAAATTATAAATTTTTTTTCTTCTCAATTTTTCTTAAATTTTTATTTATTTTTATTATTCCTTCTTATTTTATTTCTAACTTTTTGCGATTTCTTTACTTTATTTTTCTTACTATATCTTTTCTCAATTTATTTTTCTTATAGTATTATATTTATGATCTTAATCCATCTACCGTGATTAGTTGATAGGCTCAAGATGGCTGGGAATATATGCAGCTGTTAATCCTCGATTAATGACGTGATTAATTAATGTATGGCGCGGGTGTCTTGGCTAAATATACAATTTAGGCTATCTTTGAATAAACTGGACACTTGCATTTGATACACAAATGCGGCTGTACGATGTCACCTCCTAGACGTTAACTGATGGCAACTCTCAATTGTTCAACTGATAAGAGAATGGAAGTGATCTGGCCATTTATGACCGTCAAGTCTGTCAGCTGATTGAAGGAGTTGTATACAATCCAAGGGTGGGTTGACTGATAAAGTTGTTTGGAAGTTGAGTATTAAAAGTCTGGATAGATTTTATGAGTGATAATTGATGGAAAGAAGCGTTAGGCGGTATATTGGCCTCCCATTTTTTGGTTGAGTTAAATAATAACCGGTCGACGTGACATACGAAGCCTAAGATCATAAAGTTTATTTATCTGAATGATAAAAATGATGATGAAGATAAAAAGTGTGGAAAGAAGCCGAAACCACCTGATTTAGAAGAAAATTACTGATGAGGCGACTCCAATTGAATGGGGTTAATTCAATGTTTAAAATTTTTTGAATTTATCTTGAATTTTGGATAAAAAATCGGAAGTAAGATAAACGTAATATATACGTATTAAAAATAGATATTGAAGTGCTGGTAAATGGCATAGGATATGTTCTATTTTGTAAAGGCTTTTGAAAATATTGTGTTAAAATTCTTCGGACAGGGTAATAATGCCTAACGGAAAACCTAATAGGGTTAAATTTTCTCAAGCGATTATTTTTTAGCCTACTAAATTAGGAGGTTGGTTGTTTAAAAACATAATTCTGTTTTATTAATATTAAATCCGAGGTCTAAAGCAAGGGAATTAGTTTTCAAATATCGTAAAGCAGTAAATATATTAACTGAAGGACCACATATGGTACCCTCGTCTAATTACCACAAATTTAGGTTTAAATTAGATGATGAATTTCAAGCAGGGATCCTAACCTTTATTTATAACAATTCAGTTTGGTTACGATTCAGTATGTAAACAATTATAATGGTTATGGTTCGGTTACGTTTTTAAGAAAAAATTTATAAAGTTTCGGTTCAGCTAATTGTAAAGATTTATTAAGGTTTGATATTTTTTTTGAAATTATTTTTATTGTAGCAACACCATCATATAATGATTTTAATTATAAATATTATTTATTAAAATTTTGCCATCACCTAGGTTAATTTATTGTTTATTTATAAAATGGATGTAATTAATTTATTTTTATTATAAGTATCTATGAATAATATATAAAACAACACGTGGATAATTTAAAAGTATCGTAATATAGATTGTAGAAAGTATATTTAAAAGTATCGTAATATAGATTGTAGAAAGAATATACACTTCAAATCAAGTTTTTATTCACTTTATTAATTGATAAAAATCATCACAAATTGAAAAATCCAATAATCATAATATAGTAAAAAAATATAATATTTTCTCCGTAATTTATTAATTTATAAAAGAATCTCTTTTTTTTAAATTTCAAAACTTTAATGATCCAAATATATCGAAAAATATACATTATATAATCTTCATTTTTTCCTTTTCATATAATAATAATAATTTTCCACCAATCAGATGTATACAATACATCTGATTGACGATTAACAAAATTAAATGTGAATACATGCTTTTAATGCATAACATACTAGGAAAGATAACAATATGATTTTAACGGTTTTCCTAAAAGCAAAGAAAATTCAATTATTAAATTTAAGGCAATGTTTATATGTAGCATCCACGTCGAGACAAAATTAAATAACAGAAGGGTGGATGAGGTTGATAGAGGAGGGCATACTATTTAATTACAACATAACAAAACATTTAGTTTTAAAATAAGGAGATTTATTTGTAACCGCAATCTTACGTATAAATAAATTTCTTGATTTATAAACTACTTATATGAAAAAAAGATTAAGTGTTGTTAATTAATGAGTTGTGCTCAGACCCAGGGTTTAGGTCTAAAAATTGCTAAACCAGCACTGAGCACGAATCCCGAAGAAAACCCCAGGGTTTAGACCCTTAATCCCCACGCGAACATGTATTTTCTTTGAAAAATATTACAAAACATTATTGAATTTATTATTATGTATAAATCAGGGACCTTAACCTTTATTTATAATGGTTCATTATGTAAAAAATTATAATGGTTACGGTTCTTAAGAAAAAATTTATAAAGTTTCGGTTTGGTTCAGCTAATTATAAAGGTTTTTAAAGGTTAATTACGGTTAGAAATTTTTTTCTAAATTATTTTTATTGATGCAACATCATCGTAATAAGTATATATGAATAATATATAAGAATCATAACTCTGAACGTATAAGTAATATATTTTTTAATATGAGTGAATTCATATTTGTTCGTTGTGAAGATAACACAAATTTTAGCCCAAAAATGCCCTTTTACAGAAATTATATTGCAGGAAACCCAAGTACTATAAGAGCAAGTTTATTTAATTCTAAATATTCAAATTTTTTGATTCCCAATTTATAAAAACTGATATATTTTAGATTAATAAATGCAACTAAATCAAAAATTGGTAATTTAGATATTTTACATACTAAAATATAGAAAATACGAATATGGCTCTAATAGTATAAGAAATAAATACAAAAAAAATATGAGGTCAAAGCAGATAAATATTGTAAAATTATGATATTGATCAACTAATTAGAATTCATCATTATGTAAAGTCACATCGTATGGATATTATTGGCTTAAGAATTTACAATCCCTCACACTTAAAAAATAATATAATAAACAGATTTGAACAATTTGCAGACTTACATTTCAAGACAACACAAAATCTATTTTTCATAATAAAGGGTATAACTACTAATGCTTTAAAATATACTCAAATGCCAAAATTATATAAATAATATATAAAATTATAACCTTCACAGAGCTATATAATCACTATGTGGGTTGAATCTTTTTCTCATGATATTAACGACTCCAATATAAGTGCAAACCTTACTTGTGGCAGAACAAAAATGAGCAAGGCTATCACAAGTGTTTTAGTATCTGAATCCTAGAGGTCAATTCTAGACGATTTGAAAGATGGGCATCCATATGCAATTCTAACAGATGCATCTAATAAGGGAAATATTAAAACATTTCCTCCGATCCTTCGCTATTTCAACAAAAATAACAACATTTCAATAAAACTGTTAAAATTTTTTCCTCGGATAGTGAAAAATCCAACAATGTAGCTAGCCACATAATGGTAAATATAGCTGATTCAGGGTTATCAATGATTTGCATGTCAGCTTTCTGCGCTGATAATGCCTTTGTAAATTTTGGCAAAAACCAAAGTTACCGAATTGAGGCAGCACAATAATGAATTAATACCAATTGGCTGTATATGCCATATACTACATAATTCTTGCAAAAAGGCAATGAATGTACTATCTGTGGATGTCGAAATAATTAAGATGATATGTTTTAACGAATTTAGTTCATCAACTAAAAGTTAATGAATTAAAAGAGTTGGTGAAGTGGTCTGACTTGGAATGGTGTGAGTTGTTGCGATATATACCTATCAGGTGGTTGTCATTAATATCTGCCATCGATAGAATTTTAAAATTTTACAAACCCTTAAAAAAATACTTCTTAAATATAGATTTTTAAAGCTATCCAAAATTTTGAAAAATTTTTTCGAGTATGAAATGGCAGAAGCATATTTGGGATTCGTTTCACATGTAGGAAATCTACTTCATGGAGTTAATATTCAGTTGCAATCAGAATATTCTTTATTAAAAAAGATTCACAAAATCATGCTACAGCTCTGTTCATCTCTAAAGTTAAAATTGATAATAAATTTTATGACGCTATTGCTAAAAATATTATATTAAAATGTTCAAATAATGAAGCAGTTATTTTTATTAAGAAAATTTTAGAATATTTACAATCAAAATTTGATTTTAATAACTCTATTTACAAATGTATAAATATTATGACCTTGAAACAGAAACCATCAATTGATGGTTTTTATAATTTAATAAATATATTAAAAATACTGAAAGACAGTTTGAGGAGATTGTAATTCT